AGTCTCTTTATATAAGAGCATTTATACAAGGATGGTGAGGTCGTGCCATGTGCCGTGTTTCCAATGATTACGAATTATTTAGTTTGATAACGGGCTGCATAATTATTTCAATATATGATTATATATAACGCAGAACCTTATATACTTCTCTGAAATAAGGAGAGACAGAAAAAAAATACTTTAAACTTAGATTAAGTAATTTGTATCCCCGTATAGTAACAATCGTCGGATCTGAGGCCCGATTATGTTTGTATAAGGAAACGTTCAGACCTGTAGCGTAACCACATCGTAATCATGGAGGTCAAGTGACACATGTGCCTTGATAAAATTGTTTGCATAATTGCATGCTTATGTAATTTACATTTTATAGATATGGTTTGACGTAAATAAAAACTGACCCTTGTGACTTAAGTTTTAACATTTTTTTGCACTTCATTTCATATTCTTTTTCATTTAGCCATTTCACTTTTCTTTTTTTTTTCTTTTTTAATATGGTTATATTTTTTTAAGGTCTCCAGCTTTGGTCTATTTCTTGTATATTCCCTCCATTTCAATATAAATGTCATTTTGACATATTTCACACAGATTAAGAAAATGAACAAATATACTAATATGTCCTCATTTAATGTATAATTATTTGAATAAAAATGATTTTAAAAAATATTTATTGGTTAGTTAAAAAAGTAAGAAAAAGATTATGTGTAAAAAATTGCATTGAAAATATAAAGTGACACTTATTTTAAAATAAGAAACATATGGTAAAATGACACTTATTTAGAAACAGAGGAAGTATCAAATATCACTTATCTTTTCCTGCCTCTTACAAGTTTATATATCTTCTGAAAGAAATTAAAAAACTAAATGCTTATAAATCTAAATATATTTTTGTTGAAAACCAATTTTAATTTATCATAACAAAAAAAAACCATTATAATCTAAAAAATTTACAACAACACATATTATTTTCCACTCTATATTATTTATTAAAATAGCTATTAGCAAAAATGAATTATTTAAATAAAATCAACCTTTATTTTAAAAAGTCATTTAGTTTATTATGTCATTATTTAATTTAATTATTAATTAGTTATTGTAAATTAGATTAATATTGATCTTCATAAAATATGTCCTTACCTCTATTATTGTGTTGGATCCAATTTCAGTAAGGAATTAAATGGGCCTAGCATCGCCATCAAGCTCAGCCCACATCGACCCCGAAGATCGCGGAAATGGTTGTGAAGAATCGGTTAGAAAGGAGCTATAAAAAGAGAGCAATAACAAAGAACAAGACACATTGATATTACGTGCAAACACACACCAATTAACCTTATGTGCACACTACCACAATCGAATGGTATGTCGATGTAGCACTTTAGAATCGAATCCACAGAGACCAAGTATTACACTTATTTCTATAGGATCAAATTCAAACTAAAACGATTAAGTGTTGTGAAGAGCAAAATCGTGAGAAACAAATAATAAAATTGGGTTTTAAGTTCAGGATATAAGGATCTCAACCTAGGGTGTCTCATTGGGTGTTAACCATACTGAACCAAACAATTATTCAAGCTCTTTAAGTGAAGCCTAGAACTTAGATTTCTTAACTAGAACACCCTGCTCTCGCAGGTGTGCTCCTTTCGCGGGGGAGCATGATACCTATGCTCTCGCGTGGATCAACGCTCGACAGAAAACATTAAGCACATACCTAATATGCTCATATCACACCCTGATATCTACTTTCGCTGACCAGGGATGTGATGCTTGCTCTCAACAGATCTAGCAACCTAATTCATGATTAATGATAAAATATTAAACTTGGAATCAAATACTAAGTGATCAAATCAATATCAATAGTAAGAACAATGGGGAGCAAAGGCGAGAATGAGGCTTATCTATGTTCAGTTCAATGGATCAACACCCTAGAACCCTAGGCTAACAAATCGACTACTCGATCATAACACAAGAGAACACACAAGTCATGACTGAATAATGCATTGGATAAATCAAAGTATAAAGAGGATTCAGGGATTTCTTCTCTAGAAACCAAGAGGAGCAAGCCTTGGCCCTTACAAAATAGCTAGAACAAATCTTCAACAAAAAAGTCTCAACAAGTTTCTTGTGTAAAATCTAGTATATGCTCTCTGTCTGAAAGAGTAGAGGCGGCCAGGGTTCTTTTATTTGAAGAACGACGCCTGCTAAGGTAGAGAGGAGTGCTGCGTTTTGCTCTTTCCGAAATAGATCAGAGGTCTCATTAAAGAACGGGAGCAAATCGGGTTTGCTCCGCGTGGGTGCTCCACGATGGAAAACTCTGGTTTTTGCATTCTTTCTTCCATATGCTCCTTCTGGTGCATTGCAACTCGTTCTCCACCTGAAATAACTCAAAACACACTAAGAATACTCCAGGAAAGCACAAATATGATATGCAAAGCATGTGTGTAACATGTCAAAAACACAATATATCACACATGGAAAACCCTAGAGCTCACCACTACTCTCATCGATCTCATTTCTTAGTCTCTTACTTGTTTAGTTTCGATCTCACTTTGTTATTTCTGATCTCGATTACTTCTTTTTATCAACCTCATATCAATAAAGGCCATTTTTCAACTGAATTCTGATTGTATCGCTGTGTTCTAAGAGCATCGTTGCCCACATCATTTCTCTTCTCTAGATTTAACTCTTATTCACTACAAAATATTTAGTGTAGATTTTAGGATCTACACATTGGTTCAGAGTTCAGACGTATGTATTAGAGTTTTCCAATATAAAAGTTCATTTTTTTTCTCCAAAATGGACTACTTTCATAATGAAGTTGGTCTTACTCAACCCTACTTCATTTAAAGTGAAAAATGGAGCAATGAACAAAATGTTGGAGATAAAGATTCCACATTAGAAATATGAATGAAACATGAGTAATATATAAGAGATTTGGGTTAGTTCACTAAAGTGGCTCGTCGATATTATATTCGGATTGGCTCGTCTGTTGGCAATTAGTGAATTGTCCAAATTATTTTAAGTTGAAAGCTCAGGAAACTTTGTATTAGAACAGCCCTACACCCTGACCCATTAATCCCGCCACGAAAGTGGCCCGATCATCCCATTAGTTGATGGCCTATAGAAGGTTCAGTTCCGCCAAGATTGCTAAAAAAAGCACTGTCTCGTAGAGGGTATGACAAATTGTCGAGATTAATGATTATACCACCATTATCTCGAGGGAGAGTGTTGGAGATAAAGATCACACATTAGAAATATGAATGGGACATGAATAATATATAAGAGACTTGTCAAAGCAACCAATCCACTAATTTTCAATCTAATCTATTAAAATAGAGACATTATTTTTATCTACTGATACAAGTTGTCATTTAAATTTGAACACTTTCTAGAGTGTTACAAATAATATAAGTCTTATAATTGATTGAACCGCATTACTTAAATTAAACCAACACAATTAATATAACATGGCGACCTTAATGTAAACTATTTTCAACATACGGTAAATATCTATGTGTCTACCAAAAACACATATTTTTTCCTACAAATATGGAATGTTCTAAAAGAATATATATTATCCAAATATGGAATATGGAAATCTACTAATTATATTAATGTGGAAATCGTAATATACCATTTAGCATCTTAACAATTCCTTAAAAAAAAAGGAAATTTAATAATTATATGAAAGCAATGGAAATCTACTCTATTGAAATAGAGTATTTCTTTTTATCTACTAATACAAATTGTTATTTAAATTTTGACTCTTTCTAGAGTGTTACAACAAGCCATATAGTTAACTGAACCGCATTAATTAAATTAAACCGATGGTTATTTATGGGATATAGTCTTGGGCTTACTTTTGTTTTTGGGACAAATTATATGGTTTGATTTTTAAGCTTATTATTAAGGAAAAACTCCAAAAAATATTGAATAAAATTTATATCTTAATGGATCAAAAAATCAATTATTATTTTCAAGCCCAAATGTATTTAATATTTTTAACAAAACAAAATTGTCTATTATTAATCATTTATTTAAATCATGTATTTTAAAACATGTTATTGTATTTTTTAATTTAAATAACAATCACTTTTTTGATAAATTTCAATGGTAACTTTTAAATAATTTATTGTTTTATTTTTCTTAAATAATTTACTGATTTAAAAAAAATGTAAAGCAAAACCAAAAACCAATTCTAAAAACTAAAACCCAAAACCAAAAGCTCAAAACGCATTGTTCTCGATAACATATTGTTATAGTTTTTGCTTTTGTTTATTTACAAAATAATCTATTGCAATTTTTTTTTTAAAAAAAATTGTCATCTTTTCAGTTTTAAATTAGATGTTCAATTATTTGAAATTTGTTTGTTGGTAATGTCAGTTCAAACTAACTCAGCGGATCTAAAAATTAAAAACCCAAACAAAAGCTGAAAATCAAAAATAGAAACTTAAAAACTAAAAACCAAAACCTAAAAATAAAAACCGAAACTAAAAACCAATGAAAAAAATCGTCACCACAAATTTTGATAAACTGATTTTATATCATAACATTCTTTAAATTAAGACATAACCCAATTATATAAATTTTAGTTATAAAAAATTTCCGCGCTTTCAAGCGCGGGTAAAAATCTAGTTGGTTTTTAAGTTGGAGATAAAAGATCCCACATTGAATTCAGATGTGGGATTTATATCCCTAATACAAATATTATTCTGTTTATGGTTTTAAACTCATTTTTACTCTACTTGAAATGAAAAATAGAGTTAGGTTAGGAGCATTTTTTACTTCAAACTCTATTTTGAAGTAAAATATGAAGTTAAAATAAATATGTTATTAGTCATTTTATAGAAGGGTCTTATTAATGCTAGGTTTGATGTTTCAGATCTCACTAGTTGAACTTATAAATGGAGGCATTTATGATAGTCATGAATAATAGATTTGTATGCTAATAAAAAGGGTGGCCGGATTACAACTTTAACCAGTACATGGTTGCTTTGACATTCGACCATAACTGTCTCTATCTTTCTTTCTTTTTATCAACCGATCAAGCTTAAACGAAGAGAAACAATGGTTGTAGTTGGTCAGTCAAACCCCACCAAGCAAAGATCGAGAGGGGTCTTACGCAGAGCCAGGAGCCTCTCTCGTTTCGATGAAAGACAAAGCTTGCAGAATCACGAGGAGACTTACCTGGAGAATGGTAATATCAGTGTGAATGAAGAGAAGCCAAGAGAGACTCGAGAAGAATGGGTGATCTCGATCAAAGACAAGATCGGTAAAGCATGTAGAGACGTCACCTCGTCTAGCTGGGACAAGCTTTGTATCTATAGAGTTCCACATTACCTGAAGGAAATTGACAAGAAGTCCTACTTTCCTCAAACTGTGTCGCTTGGTCCCTACCACCATGGCAACAAACACCTCCTGCCTATGGAATGTCACAAGTGGCGTGCGGTCAATATGGTCATGGAACACACCAAGATAGGTATCGAAACATATATTGATGCCATGAAAAATCTTGAGGCTACGGCTCGTGCTTGCTACCAAGGTCCCATTGATATGAGTAGTAATGAGTTCACCGAAATGCTTTTTCTTGATGGTTGTTTTGTTCTTGAGCTCTTCAGGGGAACTGATAAAGGCTTCATGAAAATTGGGTAAGCCTGGATCAATTTTCTAATATTATTTGGTTATCTCTTATTTATTAGTAAACCAGTTTGGTTTCAGATCCGGCTATATAAAACATGTTTTGTGAGAGGGTTTGTAGTAATTAAAATTACATAATCAGCTAAGCGACTTTCCAAGAACAACAAAAAGGTTAAATCTAAATTGTGGACTCTTATTTTGTGTTGACTAGATATGCACCCAATGACCCAGTTTTCGCGGAAGGAGGATTAATGCATTCCATTCAACGTGACATGGTAATGCTAGAAAATCAACTTCCTTTGTTTGTTGTAGACAAGTTGTTAGAGCTACAGCCCGACACAGAGTACCAACCTGGTTCAGCGGCACAGTTAGCAGTTAAGTTCTTTGCTCTACTAATGCCAATGGACGAGGAGCTGACCAAAGGGGACAAGTTAGACTCCGTTGACTCAGTAAGTGACATTGGCGAGTTGCACTGCTTGGATGTTTTCCACCGAAGTTTCTTCAAGTCTACTTGGAAACCGGAGAAGAAAAGTCGAAAGTCCATATCATCTCGAAAACAACAGTTGATACATTGCGTGACAGAACTAAAGGAAGCAGGAGTTAAGTTCAGGAGAAAGAAAACCAACAAGCTTTGGGATATTGAATTCAGAAAAGGTTATCTAAATATACCCAAATTACTAATCCATGACAGTGAGTACTTAACCTTTCTTCTTCTTTTTTAGCTTGGTGTGCCTTCCCTACAAATAAATGTTTCGTTTCTTATTCATTATCTTAGATATATTACATTTTAGAACTTGCTTCTCATTTATACTGATTGGCTAATAATATTTGTTTAGCTCCAGAAAAAAAGAAAGATTTCAAAATTATTTTCCTGCACTGTATTCATATGATCAGTAATGAGCTTCCAGCTCGAAATTAATTGGTAATTGTGTAGAGAGGCTGATACCAATTAGACTATGTTAGGTAGAAATGGGAACATTCTAACATCTTAATTTTCCTGGTTTTCCTTGCATATAAACCATATTTATCAAGTTTGTCTATCAAACCCACTCCTTAAAATTTTTTTTTAAAAACTCTATGGTCTCTCATGTTTTTAGTTTTTTCGAACTAATTCTAGGTCTCTCATGCTTTTTTGTAGGTACCAAATCTCTCTTCTCAAATCTTATAGCTTTTGAGCAGTGCCATGCCAACTCGAGCAACGACATAACGTCCTACATAATCTTTATGGATAATCTGATAAACTCTGCTGAAGATGTTAGCTACTTGCACCATTGTGGTATCATCGAGCATTGGCTAGGGAGTGATTTTGAAGTTGCGGATTTGTTTAACCGGCTATGTAAAGAAGTTGTCTTTGACCCAAGAGATAGTTATCTATCTCAACTTTCCGGTGAAGTAAACCGTTATTATAGTCGTAAGTGGAATTCTTTGAAGGCTACCTTAAGACACAAGTACTTCAACAACCCTTGGGCATATTTCTCTTTCTTCGCTGCGGTTATTCTCTTAAATCTCACATTACTTCAAAGCTTTTTTGCTCTCTATGCTTATTATAAGCCACCTTCTTAACTTGTCATTGTTATTTTCGTTTCCTTTTGATTGAGAGTGTTTGTATTTTCTTGTTTTTAATATATTGTATTTTCTATTAAAAATACTGATTTTAGACTCTTGTTTTGGGAATCATTTCCTAGAAGTAGTTCATATTGTTCAATCACAACAGAGTAAAAAAAAAGTATGATAAGTAACGGAATTTTATAAAAATATCGGACTACTCATGGACTAGTAGCATCCTCCATATCGGATAAGCGTTTATTTAAGTGAAGCCATATCATATAAGGTTTGACAATATAGCTAACAAAAGAAACAGATAAAACGTGTCCGAGCCAATAATAGATCTATACGAAAAATGGTGAGGTCGTGCCATGTTCCTCACGAGCTGTGTAGTGAACATGCTCCGTTATGCTCTTACTATTTTCTTCTTCTTTTTTTTTTTTGGGTCCAAGTTCTTACTATTATTTTATTATTACGTACTATTTCTTTTTCTTTTTAACATTTTCCTAACAATAACTTGAATTAGAAAAGCAATATAAGAAACATATTATAATGGATCGAAAAATCCCGCCAAAACATCAGCAACCGTGATGAAATATGAACTTGAAGTTGACACTAGGAGGAACAAAATTACCTAAAAAAAAATTACCTAAATAATCGTTTTTATTTTATGACTTATCTTTCAGATTTCATTGATTGGTAACTAATCCTTTTGTTGTAACATGACACATTACCTATTCTACACAATCAAATACACATATATTAATTTAGTTTTTAGGTGGTTTTCAATCTTTTGATTATTCATACTTGAGAGACGCAAACAATTCTCTTCACGCCGGAGAATTCCAATTAATTTATTTATTTTTAACAACTAGTCAAAAGATAAACCTTTTTGTTGGTTTCCCAAAATTATTAATGGGTGTGTTTAGAGATACATCTAATTATGGTTGTTGTCATTACAGATCACTTGGGTCCATGAGTACAATAAGTAACCGATTCCAGCTTCAAATCATTTTAACATATAGTTGCTTCTTATATTTAACAACTACAACTTCTATCTTCCTCTCTCTCATTCGTCGGAAAAAAAAACTTTCAACAAACCAAAAAATGGTGGCTGTCTTCTACAAAGACATGTTAAGCTGGTACTTGCTAACCCTCAAGATCCGCGAAAAACTAGAAGCCGAGAACCAAGGACAAGGATCCGAACCGGCTAACCAAGATCCAAACCTCCCTTCTTTACCTGAAGTCACCCGATCCGATCAGGAACAAGATCAAAACAATCATAACAACGACCAGACTCTGTCCCAAGCTGGTAAGATCGAAGTAACCAAAGAGAGTCCAAAACAGCCACGAGATGACTGGGTGATCTCAATCACCGACAAGCTAGAGCAAGCACGTAGAGACGATGACACGACCATCTGGGGCAAACTCTGTATCTACAGAGTTCCATATTACTTGCAAGAAAACGACAACAAATCGTATTTCCCTCAGACAGTCTCTCTTGGTCCGTACCATCATGGCAAAAAACGGCTCCGGCCAATGGACCGTCACAAATGGCGTGCGGTCAACAAAATCTTGAAACGTACGAACCAAAACATTAAAATGTATATTGACGCCATGAGAGAGCTCGAGGAGAAGGCTCGAGCTTGCTATGAAGGTCCTTTTGGTTTGAGCAGTAACGAGTTTATCGAAATGCTAGTTCTTGATGGTTGTTTTGTTCTTGAGCTCTTCAGAGGAGCCGTTGAAGGATTCACACAACTCGGGTAAGCTTCCGGTTGTCTCAAATAATTACTAAACCGGTCTCAATCATTTTAATTTTGAATTATTGTATTTTGTGTAGATATGCACGTAATGATCCGGTTTTTGCAATGAGAGGATCGATGCATTCAATTCAACGTGATATGATAATGCTGGAGAATCAACTTCCCTTGTTCGTTCTAAACCGGTTATTAGAGCTACAGCTTGGTACAGGCAACCAAACCGGTTTAGTGGCGCAATTAGCGGTACGGTTCTTTGATCCACTAATGCCAACAGACGAGCCAATGACCAAAACCGACCAGTCAAAACTCGAGAACTATATGTCAAAAGATAAAGCCTTTGACCCATTTGCCGACATGGGTGAGTTGCACTGTCTTGATGTTTTCCGTAGAAGTCTGCTCCGTTCTAGTCCTAAACCGGAGCCAAGGTTATCAAGAAAGAGATGGTCTTCTTGGAATACACGTGTGGCTGATAAGCGCAGACAACAGCTGATACATTGCGTAACAGAACTGAGAGAGGCCGGTATTAAGTTTAGGAGAAGGAAAACCGACCGGTTTTGGGATATTCAATTCAATAACGGTTATCTAGAGATACCCAGACTACTTATTCATGACGGTACGTTCACGTTTTCCACACTATATATATATCTCCTTTTAAATACCTGCCCCATATTAGTTAGGATCATATATGATGTGATATATCCAGCTAGCTGTATAATATAATGTCGTTATGCTCTTTTTTAATCATCATATTGACTTATTCAAAATGATGTAAGCAATGGAAAAGAGTTTGATTTGTTTACACAACAAGAAAATCTAGATGATGTAACAAATAAAAAACTTTAAAGCAAGAAAAGTTACATGATTCCTTATTCGCTTTTGTTTTGTAGGTACCAAGTCTCTTTTCTTGAACCTTATAGCTTTTGAACAGTGCCATATTGACTCGAGGAATGACATAACATCCTACATAATCTTCATGGACAATCTAATAGATTCTCATGAAGATGTTAGCTACTTACACTACTGCGGTATTATCGAACACTGGCTAGGGAGCGATTCTGAAGTTGCTAATTTGTTCAACCGGTTGTGTGAAGAAGTTGTTTTTGACACCGAAGATAGTTATCTATCTCGTTTATCGGTTGAGGTTAACCGTTATTACAATCAAAAGTGGAATGCTTGGAGAGCGACCTTGAGACACAAGTACTTTAATAATCCATGGGCTATTGTCTCTTTTTGTGCTGCAGTTATTCTACTCGTCCTCACATTATCTCAAAGTTTTTTTGCTGCTTATGCTTATTACAAGCCACCTAGCTAACTTTCATTATTTTGATAAATTTCTTTAAAATTGATTTTTTTTTTTGTGTCTTTATATGTATTGTATTTATTCTAAGCAATGAAGTAAGAACTTTGGTATTGTAACACTCAGATTTTGAAAAGCAGAAAATATTGGTATATGGTTATCAAATTTCAATCTATGTGTTGCTAACACAGACAAACTAATTAAAGTAAAGAATGTGCAGGTAACATTATAGCAACCAAGTTAATAAATCATAATACTAATGATGTCTTTCTAGTATAAAAATAAGATTCATTAAAAGCATCTACTAAAATTATTTGAAAAATACCTTCAATTTACAAACAAAACAATGTTTGTCTCAAAAATAACAACGGGTATAATAATCATTAGGACTTAAGAGGTATAAAGAAAAATATATACATATTTATAAATATATGATTAATTAAATTTATTTATGAATATGTTAAAATCAATATATATTAGATCGAATGTTAATTCTTCAGTATTTTCAGGAATTTACTCATTTTTCAGGAATGATTTCCTAGAACATTTTTTTCAGAATTTCCCTCTAATTATTTCCAAGTAAGATTTGTTCAGTTTCAACAAAAGATTTAAATATATTTGAGATTTTGGAAATAAGCATACACATTTAGGAAAACCTTCTTAGAAATGTGTTGCATCTGTAAGTGTTTTAAATCTTTGTGTACCAGTAAAAACTCATCATTTATTGGTTTTGAGGTTGTATGTGTTGCATTTTAGATTTAAGAACATTAAGTTTTCAACAAATAAATATGTATTTCTAAAGAAAAAAATCAGGTTTTGAGATTGTTATATAGGTCAAGAGATTGTAAAATTGTCCATTCACGTAATAATATAAAAACCCTAAACAGATATTTGCATCAATCATTTTTGCTCTTTTTGCTTTATTCGAGTTTGATTCGTGTTTTGTTCATAACAAAATGTATAAAATATAATTTTTATGTCCACTTATATAACACTTCAGTTTTCTTTTTCTAATATTGGCTATGCAATGTGATAAGTAAAAACACTATTCTTTACTTAAATGTCAGTAAATTTTGTAAATGGTCAAGTAATTCATCCCAAAATATTAATAAGAAATTTTATGTACTCCCTCTATTTCAATGAGATCGATATTCTAGAAAAAGTATTTGTTTGAAAAAGATATTTTTTTTTTAACTTTCAATGTATTAGTTAATGATAAATTGTCAATTTTTTTTAAAAAATAATTCTGTTTAATAAAATTTTATTGGTTAAAAATGCGGGGAATTGTTAAGTACAAAAAATGATACATTGATAATCAAAATTTTATATATTTTCTTAATATGTGTGAAAAAACTAAAACATGTAACTTTTTAAAATATATGGAGTATGTTATACACGAAGGCATTCTAAAACTTAGTAAAATGTAATACACATTCATGAAGACCTCCATTAAATGTATGTTAATTACTCAAAGGTCTAATAAGTATTTATAAGTTTCTATACTTTTAAGAAAATCTTCCAATAAATTGTGCTATCTATTAATATTGTACTTCTGATATTGTATAAGACATAAAATTCTGATGAGTATAACTTCTAGATTATCGACACAAAAGCTTCTTATGAGTCTGGATAATATTTTAGCCGTTTTTAGGTCAATGTCTATTATATTGTTAATTCGAACACATGTCACATTTGTAGTATTTCAATCATTTTACCCATTTAAAAATATTTTAAGGTATAAATGTGAATATTGTACTTATTTACACAACTCTTTAAATTTAGAAATCATTCTATATCTTGAATTTTTCATTTTAAATTAATATTATTTATTTAAAATAAACATTTCTTTTATTTTAAATAAATTATTTGTTACAATTAAATTTATGATTTAGTAATAATATTTAAGTTTTTCATATTTATTGGTCTTTATTTAGTGAATTTCATTTTCGTATGCTATTTTGGGAAAGGAAAAGAGTCTAGTGCTATTAAAGAAAATTTTCAAATTATAATATTGAAAAAACGTTTAGGGATGTAAACTTATGGAAGTCAAGCCTTTGACTGCTTTGAGTCAGTCTCCTGAATGTGCAAGTCACCGAATTCTTACTTGCAAGTCACCATGACTGAAACTTCTTTCATTGATTTTCCAATTTGTGTTTTATAGTTGGCAATTATTTTACTCCTACACCTGAATTTGGAACTCCATTTTTATCTCTTTAATGATCTTCAAAGAACTTGGTCTCCACAACTTTTTCTTCCATCTTGTCTCTTAAGAAAACTCATGTTCTCTGATGCAAACGAACATTGTTAATAGTACTATACTACTATACTAGTTTTGCCATTGTTTTCTATTCCTACATTGTCAAATAGAAAATCTTACTCAAAATAATAAATATTTGGTCAACTCCTGTCGGTCGCTACACATAGTTTTTTTTTCTCCCGGAAAAACTGTCTTTGTAGTGACAGATCTAGGCAGAATCATCTTGAACCATTTTACGGACATATATACTAACTCTGGAGCCAGAACTCAGCTTAAATAAAACTAGCTTTTGTGGCAAACCCAAAGAATCCTGCAGAAAAAAACATAGCACAAGAAGATTTGTTACTAGCAGCTGATTCAGAGAGTTTAAGATTCTTTAAAACAAACAGAGCTCCTAAAGTACCTGCCCCTGGTCTCCATCAACGTTTTCAAATGCTTGATCTGCTTCTTTTGAGCTAGGGAAAACAAAAAACGCACAATAGCAACCTCTCGATGTTTTTGCTGGCTGCCAAAAGAATAATAGAGGTAGAGAAAGATTAGCCATTAGGGATACTGAGAGAAAAGTAACTATATATATATATATGGTTTGTTTACCTTAACATCAAGTGTAAATTCTCCAGAAAGAACTTTCTCCAGCTCTTTAGATGTCACATTGTGAGGGATTTTATGTATAAAAAGCTTTGCCTTCTCAACCTCCAACATCTATGGAGAAAATTGCAGACTATTAGAATTATAAAACTTACAAGTTTGGTACAATTCTTATTTTCTTCTAACCTCTTTAGACGGTGAGATTGTTGTGGTAGCTCTCTTCTCTATAACAGCAAGTGCAAGTTTCATCGCAGCTGATGCGTCGTGTACACAATCATGAGAGACTCCTGCCTTTCGGACTTCATAACCCAAAATAGACTGAAGAAAACAGTTTCAATAAAAATGTTATCTTTTGGTGATATTACCCATTTTATATAGACGTTACCTTGCAAAGGTTGTTAAGTGAAACTCTTTTGGGCTTCCTTGCATTGGAATACTTGAAAACAAGTGCGGTATCGATTACTTTGGGATGATCTATCTTCAACACTGTGACCAAAATATCAAATAATATTTGTAGCTATATAAACCAATAAAAAGCAACATAAGACTCTACTGGGAAACTCTTTGAACTTACCTTCCAAATCTTTGTTCAAACTGTGACCAACCAAAACTGCACCATTTGAAAGAAAGGGCTGCAAAGTTTCCTGCAACATTTCACAAAATCAACAAAACTATCATGTAAATAAGCAAAAAGAATGACTATACAATACATGGTTAGTGTACCTGTATATCTAACAGGGAGAGGGTAGCTTTTTCGATAACTTCAGCAGTAATCCCTGTAATGTCTGTCCTATAGTCAACTACAGGTTTGTCCGGTTTCACAAATTCGTCAAGAATCACCTAAACCATGAACAACAGCATTTGATCACCCTAGTCAAGTAAACATGTTCACATCAAGACTTGCAACTCTATAATAAGACCTTTAAATTTCGGTCTACAGCACCAACTCTGACCAAACCCTCAGTTCCATCTTCGCAAAGAACCATCTCACAGTCAACAGCTACCATTTCTGTTGATTCCATCACCTTGAACATCTTAATTCCAACATCGGATACAAACCAGTCCTGTTTTAGCAAATTCCCAAACTCTTAAAAGAAACACAAGAAACTTGTATGAGCTGCATTGTTGTTTAAGAAAACCTCGGAGTGTGGCTGGAATGAGTAGTCTAACGAGTAAGCAGGATGCTCAACAGTCAATCTAACTAGACTCTGTACTGGTCAAACAACATATTCATATCAAACTTGAACACAAGACATAACATGTCTTTTTTGGAACATAGCTCTTGCTCTCACCTGCTCAGGAGTGTCGTTAATAGCAGATTCCTGCTCTAATTTCTCAATCAGAAGACAATTGGCGTGACATTTTAGAACCTAAAGCATAAGGAGATTAATTAAAAACCAGACATTAGTGAAAAACATGTCTTCTTTCACTTAACCTGCAAATCTTGTTTCTTCTTGAAGGTTGTGAGAAAGGCGACAAGTTCTTCATGGGAACGCTTCGAAGGGTCATTTGGTGACCCAATCTTCTTCTTGTCTTTAGCATCTAAAAACTCCTTCCATCCTCCATTTTCGCCACGCAAACCTCGACGCTGAACTAGCTTCACCAACTCTTCAAGCACCTAACTCGGAAAACAGAGAGGGGGAAAACGAATGAATCATTTAAATAAAAGTAGGAACTCGGCCTGAGAAACAGATGAGTGAAAAGAAAAGACGAACTTGTTTCTCGGCGGTGGCTAGTTTAAGCTCCATAGTTTTGGCTAATTACTCAAGTGAGTGAGAGTGCTTCTTGAAATGAAATCTCAGACGTGAGGGAGTGAGCTGAGTGCTAAAGAATAAACAGAGTTCAATTTATTTTTAGGGTTCAGGCCAATATGAAAATTAAGAGGGTGTTAGAGCAACATTATTGGTTCTTAGGTTAATTTAGTCCTTAGGTTAGTTTATTATTATAGTTAAGTTAAGAAACTTAGTTAAGGACAATTGTAAAAGTGTAGATTATTGGTAGGACTTTTGTTGTCTCTTAAGAAATTAAATAAATATTTTATTAAATTATTTTATATTTAAAAAATTTAAAAACAAACATATAATATTGAAATTGAGAACATAAATATTACCTTGAAATTGAGAACATTGAAATTAAACATATTACATTGAAATTGAGAACATATTACAAAATTAAAAAAAAACGATAAAAACACAATACTAAATGTTAAACATTTTATTCAATCAATACAAACAAATCTAACTATATATTATTTTGGAGATGTCCAAATTTCGCCCATATGTTTTCAATCAGATCATTTTTTAAATGTTCATGGGCTTCTCTGTTCCGAACTCTGGTGCGACGATCAATTGTATTGCCGAGATTTGAAGGCATATTGACAGAATATGTAAAATCCGCATCTTCGCCTTGTTGAAATTCGAAAACGTCATATTGAGTGAATGACTCTCGTTCATCTTCGACGATCATATTATGGAGTATGATACATGCTCTCATAATATTCCCAATTTTTTCTTTATCCCATAACTTTGAAGGATTTTTGACAACGGCAAATCTCGCTTGGAGGACTCCAAAGGCACGTTCCACATCTTTTCGCACCGATTCTTGAGTTTTAGCAAATAATGAATTTTTCTCACCTTGTGGTAGTCGGATAGATTGAATAAAGGTCGCACATTTCGGATAAATACCATCCGTGAGATAATAACCCAAATCGTACTCCGTTCAGTTGACATAAAAATTAACTTGTGGCGCTAATCCGTTAATAATGTCATCAAAAACAGGTGATCGATCAAGAACATTAAGATCGTTCATAGTACCTGGAGCTCCAAAAAAAGCGTGCCATATCCAGAGGTCATATGAAGCTACCGCCTCCAACACAATTGTCGGTTTTCCTCTTCCTCGTGAATACATTCCTTTCCAAGCGGTGGGACAATTCTTCCACCCCCAATGCATACAGTCAATGCTTCCAACCATCCCCGGGAAGCCACGTTGTTCTCCAATATGGAGTAGTCTTTCCAGATCCTCCGGTGTGGGACGTCTTAGGTATTCGTCGCCAAACAAATTGATTATAGCGGCGGTAAATTGGTGGAGCCATTGTCTAGCCATAGTTTCGGCAAGTCTTACATATTCGTCAACAGAATCAGCCCCACCACCATAAGCCAACTGACGAATTGCCGACGTACATTTTTGAAGTGGTGATAGACTAGGCCGGCCGGCTGCATCTTGTGTTTGTCGAAAATACTCTACTTCTGTGGAGAGACGATGCACAATACGCATGAACAATGATCTATTCATCCGAAAGCGTCGACGGAATAAATTGTGAGGGTATGTAGGAGTTTCGGAAAAATAATCATTCCATATTGCGTTATGACCTTCTTCTCGGTTTCTCTCAATAAAAATGCGTGGTTTTCGCTCTTTTGGTTCTGGAATCAGATCAGGGTTTTCGAGAAAATCATCAAATACGGTTTCAAATTCATCACCATTATCATTATCGTTGTGGTAATGATAGTGAGAAGAAGAAGCCATTTAAAATTTTTAGAAGGTGGAAATGTTTTGAGAATGGAGAGAAGATGATTTTCAAAGAAGTAAACATATGTTTGATACTTTTATACATGTCTTGAAATCTAAGTAGGTTCAACAGCATTTGCTCACGGGCCTGTCCTTTAGACTTCTGTTTGGACACGAGTACTTCTGTTTGGTCACGAGCACACACGTTCTACTCCCTAGTTGGTACAACAACATTTTGTAACAACCATCTTATTTAACATGTGCTGCTACCAATATTCTTAAAAGAAGCTGAAATGAAGTCATTACATAATCGTCAATCTAATAAAACAAAACACAAGCATTAATAAGTCATTACATATTGTCATTAAAATCAAGCATTACATGTTTAGTTAAACTTAATAAGTCATTACATAATCGTCAATCTAAACCCACATATTAGAAGTAGCAACAAAACAGAAGCATTAACGTGTGCTGAGCACCATACATATTAGAAGTAGCACAACAATGATCCCACTTAGAAAGTATTCGAAACCAAAGCCACTGCCAAATCTAGATTTCTTCTTATTACTTAACTCAGACACCAGCTCTTCTAGCCTTACCAGTTTCTGGTCAGTGTCGTTGGTGATAGTCGATGCTTGGTTAAAATATGACCCATACTCTCCGAAACCGGTAAGATGATCAACCTTCTCAGCCAACTGAAGCGTGTGGACATCCATTGCTCTCATCTCCTCCATAACGGCCACGTCCCACCACTTATATACATGACACTCTCCATCATCACGATCCGCACAAGTGTAGAACCTTCTACCTGGATCATTTATAAGACAAGCATTATTACAATGACATTAATACATGTTACAAATTCATAATAAATAAGACAAGCATCGACTCAATTTTTCTACCTGGATCACTTTTACTGTAAGACGTTGCTAGTAGAGGTCGAGAACCACAGTAGCAAGTTCGTGGGAAACCGAACTCAACCTCAGGTTGAGGAGGATACTGAACTGGAACTTCCTGGATATTGTTTAACTCAGCTTGGTCTTGTCGAATTAGATCGTCAGTCTCACTGTACTCACTGTCAGCTCTGGACAAACCATAGTCATCTGATTCACTCGGCTGGGTGTAGCTGTAATCAAGTCCCATCTTTAACTTAACCTGCAAGAAAGATAATAGGATTTAAAAACAAAATTTAAAGCAAGAATACCAATACAGGAATTAAAACACATAATTTGTATCCAGGAATTAAAACACATAAACTTAAAGTACAGAAACACAGGTAGCATAAAACTGATTCATTGATAATAATAGTAGCGTACATAGATCCATTACAAAGCAAGTAGCACATAGAACATAAATTTAAAACAGGAATTAAAACACATAATTTGAGAACAGGAATTAAAACACAGAAACTTAAGCAGAATTTAAAAACACAATGCAAACTACTTAAAACAACAAAGCAAGTAGCGTATTCTTCACCACTTCTTCAGCCTCCGAAAGTGGTTCCTTTTTGGCCAATAGAGTGTCCAAAATGGATAGCTTTGACAGTTTCTCCTTGTACGCCAAGTCCTCCCTCTTCATTTCCCAAATGGTTGTGTACTCAGCCATAGACCTACCCTGACCATTGTTCCTTTTTGCTTTAGCCGCCTTGACACCTTTAGGACGCGTCTCAGGATCACCAACATTGCCAACTGATGCTTGGGAACCTGATGCACCACTTTTTCTCTTTGAACTGCCGGCAGGTTTAGGTGCATTAAGGCTAAGCCATTTCTGCTCATGCCTCAACACACACCAGGCATGTTCAAGGTTGAACTTGGTGTCATGGTCAGAGTAGTATAGCTCGTGAGCGAGCTTGAGGACATCAGTGTCGTTTTGACCAGAACCGAGTTGTCTCTCTGCTGCTGCATAAGCGCCACAGAACTTGTTTGTCAAGTCGTTTATCTTGTGTCATCTCTGCTTACAGTGGAGATGCTCTCTCTCTCTAGCGTGAGGACTGTCCTTGTAATATTCCACAACTCTCCTCCAGAAGGTACGTGCATTCTGGTCTTTACCAACAACAACATCCTTATATGTGTTCAACCAGGCACTAATTAGAACCTCGTCATCAGCAGGCGTCCACTTCTGGCGACGATGATCAACGGGTCTAACTACAGGTGGAGGAGGAGTTGGCAGGTGAGGTTGTTGAGAGCTGAAAGGGGGGATTTCTGAGGCTCCAAGGTTTACACTAGTATGAAAACTTTCGTGAAGAAAGTTTGCAGGGAAAACAGTCTCGTGTTGACTGTTAAGGAGTCCTGTGTAACCACGAGACTGTCCATATAGATTCCTTGAATCCATACCAATAGAATTTAAAGAAATTTTAGAGGAGAAAAGGGGATACGATTAAGAGGTAGATGGTGGAGAGTACAGAAGGGAATGACTCGGGGTTTTAAAGGCGAAGGTTTGAAGTTTCGAAAGTTAACCCACTTAAATGACTAACCATCAACCACCGAGGTCTTATCAGAAGTTAATATACACACAACAACCAAAAACCTATCAACTTTACTTTAAGACCAACAACTCTGTTTGGTTTCAATCCAACTACGATTAAAGTAGACAACTGGAACAAAGCAAACTAGAACTACTTTTGAAAAAAAGTTAGTCGTGCAAAGTGATAACGGTTACCAATACTGAATAAACTAGAATCCTTTTTTTGGTTTCAATCGAACTACGTTTCAAACTACAGTAGAACCTCTATAAATTAATACTCGATAAATTAATAATCTCTATAAACTAATAAATTTTACCGGTCCCAATTTGGGACGGTTCAAAATTTTGACCAAAATCGATAAAATAATAAGATAATAAGTTTTCAGAAAATTCTATGTAAATATATGGTCCCATTAAAATTATAAATTAATAATTTCTATATATACATATTTTATAAGTAAGAACCTATCATTATAATGTTTGTTTTATATTCACAATGGAATTATCTTTACATTTTTTTAACACATAATATATTTTTGATGAGAGTTAGTAATATATATCTAAAATCACATTTAAATTTTATGAAGTATATATTAAATACAAATAATATAAAAAAAATTAATATAAATGTAAAATTTTTAAAAATAATGATTAGTGTACGTACATTAAAAATCAAATATTTTTCTTATCTTAAAATAAATATATCTTTAAAAAAAATTTGTAAATTAATATATCTATAAATTAATAAAATTTCAAAGTCCTAACATTATTAATTTATAGAGGTTCTACTGTAGATATATTGAATACATATATCTACCTCATGGCAGAGCTCATT